TTGTCGCCAGTGTTCTTGTCGGCTTGACTTGCAAGTAGCTCTAAGCATTTTTCGATGGTTACCGTTTCGTCATCTTCAGCGGTTTCTGCCTGATTGCCATCAGATTCTTGTTCATCTTCACTGGTGATGGGGCTGACTGGTGCCGTTGCCTTGGGTTTGACAGGGGGGGTGGTTGGTTTTCAGGGGGTCCGGTGACGGGGCCAATTGTTTCCTTGGGTTCGACGCCGGTGGGGGCAATCGTGGCTGAGGGTCCAGAGAAAAGAACTTTTTCGGAAGGCGCACCAGGGATGTCGACTCCTACGGGGGCCAAGAGGCTTGGATCAAGCTCGGCCGGGTTGGGGGGGTTGACAACTGCGGTCCGGGATGCGACGACCCCCGCAGTTGGCCCGACGACTGCCGTTTTTTGCGCGACAACTGCCGTTTTTTGCGCGACGACTGCCGTTTCTTGCGCGACGACTGCCGTTTCTTGCACGACGACTGCCGTTTTTTGCGCGACGACTCCCGGGGCCAAGGTGAGTCTGGTGGTGGGGGCGGCGGCGACGACTCCGTTCCATGGGCTAGCAACTCCCGCCCCTGCGGCGACGACTCCCGTCTCTGGGGCAGCGACTCCCGTCCCGGCGGCAACGACGGCGGTCCCCGGTGTGACGACTCCCGTCTCTTGGGGAGCGACTCCCTCTCCGGCGTAGGCGACTCCCGTGCCGGGTGCAATGACTCCCGTTGCCCCAGCGGCGACCTCCGCGACAACTCCCGTGGCTCCTGCGGGGTTTCCGACCGGCTGTTCTGGCTGGCGCCCATTGGCGGTGACCATCGGCAGCTCGGATCCGTCGGCGGTGACCTGCGGCGGCTGTGGCCTGTCGGAGGTGGCCTCGGCGGTCACCTTTGGCGGCTGTGGCCCGTCGGCGGGGTCCTTCAACAATTGGGCGGCAGCCTTGGCCGCGGGAACCTCGGCGGCGTCGATCGAGGGCTGGAGCCCGTCGGCGGTGTCCTTCGGTGAGGTGAGCGGGGATGGTGGGGTTGGGGTTGGACATGGTGGGTGGGTGGTTGGGTGGTTGGGTGGTTGGGTGGATGGGTGGGGAGTCGGTGGGTGGGGGGAGTGGATATCGGAGGAGGGGAGGATATGGGTGGGTGTGGAGCGGCAACTCCTGCATGGGAGAAGAAACAAGGTTTCTTCTCCCCAGCCGACTCCTAATGATTTGCCAACGACTCCTGCGAGACGAAAAAAAAGACCAGGGAACGATTGGGCCAGCGACTCCCTTTCCGTCTGGGAAATTGGCCTGACGACTCCCTAGGAAAAAAAAAATCAGAAAAATTAAGGCTTAAATTTGGGAGGACAACTCCTGCCCTTTAGGCAGACGACTCCCAAACTTTCATTAAAAAAAAAAAAAAATCGCCTGTGAAATTAGGCCGCCGACTCCCGGGAGTTGGAAGGACGACTCCCGTTCAACGACCTCCCGACCAAAACGGGAGTCGTCGACTAAATTTTGGGAGTCGTTTTTCCAACCCCCATTATTTTAATTATTGGTTTTTTTTTCCACTCATTTTTTCAATTAATTGTTTGCATTAGGGGGTATCAAATATAACCAAATCCACAATTATTTAATTGACTGGTTTGAAAAAATCCACACTTTTTTAAACATGTTGGTTCTTCACTTAACCCCTTTTGGGGCCCATTGATTCAAAAAAAAGTTTTGAGAAAAGTGACTGGTTTCTAATGGTGGATTTCCCATATTTGATACCCCCTAATAGGATAGAATCCAGCAGACAGGAATTAAGAAGAGCTCATCAATTGGTGCCAGAAAGCAATAACATAGTTTGGTTTAACTGTCAAGTCAGGTAGGATCATGATGGACAGCTGGAAATTATCACCTTTCCATCAATGAAGAAGGCCAGTACAGCATTGAGTGGAATTGAATGGGGAATGATACTACTACAAGGCAAGGTTGGATAATTTATAACTTGATGTGATGTTTGGGGCCAGATGGAAAGAAGTTGGCCCAGTTTAGGACAGGAAAAATAAGCACAAATAACTTCTGGTACAGTATGATAGCCAGAGTAGATAGACCAAGCATATGTAAAACAACCATATTTCAACTGCTCATGGAGGAAGTATTTAGAATTGACCACATTCCAGATTTTGAGTTAATCTTTGTTGAAATTGATCTTTCTCAACATCTGTTAACCAGAATAAAAAAAAAACCTTTGGTAAAGTTGCTCCACAAGGCTTTCAAGCTTTTGATCTGCAAGCTGTTTGGACAACACTGTTCTCAATTGCATCAATAGAAGTAAAAACATGAATCAGTTCAACTTTGATTGGCGGATTTGGAACAGGAAGAGACATTTCCCTAGGAATAAGACTTACTTCCAGATTCTTCTACCAATTTTCTTATTACAACTTCTTCAATTTTTTTTTCTCAAATGATCCTTCCCCTGATATATTTGTGTCCCAAGTGGTCAATTTTAGCTAGAAATTAATCTAAAGCAAACAATAAAAGCTGGTGGTTCTCACTGTCTATAATTAATTGTTCACATTTTGGATCCGGTTGCCTCACAGCTTCCTCCTGGTGCCAATGCTTTGCCATTTAATACAAAAATTCTCCTACAAATTCAATTAAATTCAGTTGTTCTATTATGTTCAAGGATATTGTGAATTTGAACAGCTCTCCTAATTTTATAAAGCAGCAAGGAGATTGCAAGAATAATTAATGATTAATTATAACATATTATACAGTGGATATTTTGGGGAGTCTGTTAAAAACCTTGCTGGGAGCAAAGATGAAGAGTCTTCTGATTTAATTTGAATGTACCATCAGTTCAAATAAATATGGCATGATCAAGTCGTTTAAGAAGTTGAAAGTCAACAGGTTCTTTGAAAGGTACATATGGTGTTGCAAGCCTGTCTGGGCACAGATCAAAGTTTGGCCAAAAACAGGCCAAGGGAGCTGGGCCAACCCCAAAGCCCGCTTGGCCAATCCTAAAGGGTGTGTGGCACCCTCCCAGCCCCCTCTTGGCACATGCCAAAGCTGATGAGGTTTGGGACAAAGCCTTGCTTGACCAGAATCAAACAAGGGTGCCACACCGGCCCAAAAAATTATGGCCATCCAGAAGGAGTACCTTCTTGATGGCCAGTCTACTACACATTTAGTTTTTCTCCTCCATGCACCTGTGTCACTCAAATTCTTTGGTTCCAAACCAAAGAAAATGGTGCCATTATCTTCGGTTTGGAAGCAAAGAGCTGCCAGAGCTATGTGAGCTGCCTGGAGCTGGGTCCCCCAGCTGACTAGATTTCCAAAAACACTGGCAGAGACAAAGTCTCTGTAGCTCAGCGGTTTCCACTGGCCCTAACATCTGACCATCCAGCAGGATGTGGCTTCAATTCCCACCGGCCCCATCCCCTGATGGGGGTTAGGGGGCAGGTTTTTGGGGTTAGGGTTAGGTTTAGAGCATTAGGGGGTTAGGTGGTTAGGGTTAGGGTTAGCCCAGGAGAGGCACAGTACTTGGACAGGTTTGATTAGTTGTTCATCTGCCTGGGTATTGTGGGGCCACTGGGAACCTGGCGTAGTTGTCGGATATCCAATGGCCCCTGCTTCAATGGAGGGTTAGGTTTAGGGTTAGGTTTAGGGTTTAGGGTTTAGGGTTGGGGGTTAGGTTGAGGTTTAGGGTTTAAGTTTAGGGTTTGGGGTTTAGGTTTAGGGTCAGGGTTTAGGGTTTAGGGTTTAGGGTTAGGGTTAGGGTTTAGGGTTAGGGTTTATGGTTTAGGGTTTAGGTTGAGGGTTTAGGTTGTTTAGGGCTGTTTCTTTATAAAAAAATTGGCAAAACCGGTGTGGTCATTATTCCTGTGTATGAAGGAAGAAAATTCAAAAATTTATTATTTATCAATCAAGGACTCAAGATATGGACAAATGGATGTCAGAAATGGAATCTAAGGCCAATTTAACCCCTAGTCACTCACTGGAACCACCTTCATATCTCTACTGGATCAGAAGTTACGCAGAATCAAGGATGTCACACAGAGAATCACAGGATCAGAGGCACTCAGCTGGAGGGTATATTGCATGGGGTATATTGCATATTGCATATTGAATTCCTTTTATCCATATTGAATTCCTTTTTATACTTGCAGAACCACAAGTTGACCACCAGTTGTATCAGTTAAATTCCCATTTATTCAGCCACAAGAACACATGAATTCCTTCCTTATAGCTTGCATATAAAAGGGATGCATTGTAGATAGTCTAGCCAAAATCCCTCAGTATTTTCAGGTACAGGGCAGCTAAAATGCCTCATACAGGGGGTCCCTTGGGGCTAAAATCCCTCATAATTTACTATATAAGGAGGCCTCTGCCTGCCAGTTGTTTCCCTCCTCATCCCACTCAGTACACATTTTTTGGTGGGACACCTGTCACAGATTATACATATTTATTACACAAGAAGTTCACGAGTAGTACAGTTCACAGATTGAAATATATACACAGTCATTTCACAAACATTACACAGAAGAGCCAGTCCTTTGTTCCAGTCCTGGTTGAAGCATAGTGCTCCCAGACCCTTTGGGTTCAAGAACCACCTCTATTACATTATACATATACAGCATCAAGTAAGAGCACGAGCATCAAGACATCAAGACGAGAAACAACATCAACAACTCAATCAATTCTTTGGACAACAAGATCAACCTTCAACAATTATACAACCATCTTTGAACATAATCCATTATCACCGACCAAACTGCCAAGCTTACCTTGGTGGTCTTGTTTTCTGATAATATAGAAAGGCAGAGTTTGCAGCTCATTTCATCCCTTTCTCCATTCAGCAAAAAGGATCTTACAATCACTTTTTAAGTCTTACTCCGGTTTTTACCCAGCTCACTCAGCTCACCCAGCTCATATACCCAGCTCACCCAGCTCTGCTGTTTCTTTGGTTTCAAACCGATGATAATGAAACCATTTTCTTTGGTTTGGGACCAAAGGATCCAATTGCCAAAACTCCACAAATCACTCAATATGGCTCAAGAAATGGATTCTACACTCAATTTCACCCTTGGTCCCGATGCTAATCTCTTGCCTGAACTACAGGGTGTACTAGATGGTTTCATACATGGGTATGATCAAGGGATCCCCAAGCACGGTATTGGTGCGCTAAGGTGGTTCACCCCAGAGAATCACAGTTCGGCAGTTCTAGCAAGAGACAAGATTCACGCCTCGATCTCCCAAGAGGTAGAAAGCCAAGCGAATGTTCGGTCCGTTTACACATGAGGAGGTGGCAAGGCAAATTCAGTTTCTTCAGGACCTCACCTTTAGGCTTGGTAGTCAATGCAGATGGAAAAATGCGTCCAATTAACGACCTATCCTTTCCGAAAAAGGACCTGACTATACCTTCAGTCAACTCCTTCGTGAATAAATCTCATTTTGAGACGACGTGGGACGATTTTAACATTGTCACAGAATTTTTCAGACAAAATGACGGTCAGTTCGACCTGGCCCTATTCGACTGGGAGAAGGCATATCGGCAAGTACCCACCAGAATGGACCAATGGCCTTTCCTCATGGTACAAGATCTAGATGGCGGTCTATTCATAGACACACGAATTACCTTTGGGGCGGTGGCCGGTTGTGGGTCGTTCGGGATACCAGCGGACGCGTGGAAGAGGATTATGACCCACGAATTCGATGTCGAAAAAATATTCAGGTGGGTTGATGATAACCTGTTTGTCAAACGATCATCCAAATCTTTTAGTATTCGAGACATCGTGTCGAGGTCCCTGGAATTAGGGGTGCAGACAAACGAAGAAAAATGCTCAGATTTCAGTATTGAACAGAAGTTTATAGGGTTTGTTTGGAACGGAAGGGATTCGACGGTCCGTCTACCCAAGCCAAAGCTGGAACAGCGAATAACGCAAATAGAGGTATTTCTAGTACCGAAGGCCGAATTCAAGTATAACGACGCTGAAGTATTGGCTGGTCGTTTGAATCACGTCTCGTACCTGCTACCCCAACTACGAGCATACCTCCGCGGAGTCTACCGATGGATGAACGAATGGAAGAAAAAGATGGCTACTAGAACGGTCCCTGCAGACGTCATCTCTGACCTTGCTTTTTGGCGGGAATCCCTCTTAAATTTTGAGCACACTCGACTGGTTCAGTCATGCGAGGAGAAGGAGTTGAACTGGGTAGGCGACGCCTCCACAGGTTTTGGAATAGGCGTCCTGATTGGGCACAGGTGGTGCCAGTTCAGGATGAAGGAGACATGGAGGGAAGGGACCCCTTCCAGAGGAATAGCATGGTTAGAGACCGTAGCGATCAGACTAGGCGTACTTATGTTGATAGAGTTGCATCTAGTTGCAAAGGGGACGAACTGCGTGGTCTGGACCGACAACACGGTGACACAAGCGACACTCGTCTCCAAGAAGTCTAAGGATGCCTTTGTCAACGACGAGTGGAAGATCATTCAAACCCTCCTCATAACGAATCAGCTAGATATTACCCCGAAAAGGGTTGCCTCTAAAGACAACCGGGCAGACGCGTTGTCCAGGGGGATACAAAAGCCTCATGTCAAGGAGAACAGGGTCTGGGTGGACATCCCCAACGACTTGGTACCTTTCCTGTTTCACGCATAGCTGTCCTTTCCTCTTCCGTTTGTCAGGGGCGCCTTTCTGTCCCTTTTTATAAAGTTTGTGACGGGTAGACTATAAAACACGACCAGCACTTCCCATGATTTTACTAGGCACTGTTTTTTCTCTTCTCTAAATTTCCTCGCGTTCTGATTTTGGTCATGCTGCGAAATCGCCCGCCTGCCTTTGCAAAAATCTCACATTTTCTCCAAAACGGGTCAGAGCCATCAGCCCCATCAGTCGCTTCGTTGCACATCATCTCGGCATGGAGTTGGAGCACTCTGCTCAGTTACAACAGCGCGGTCAAAAAATACCTGATCTATCAGTCCACGAGAGGCACAGGGGCCTTTACTCTTCCCCTTACGGCAGACGACCTAGAAGATTTTGCGATATGGGCGGGGCGCAATGAGTATAGCGCCAACGCAGGCAAGATATCGGCACAGTCTCTCAAGAAATATCTCATCGGTCTGAAGGCATGGCACCATTTTCACGCCGCGACCTACCCGGTAGCAAGCAAAGCTCGGATCGATTTAATCCTCAAAGCATCGTCTAAACTAGACGCCGTGACACCAAAAACTCCCGCCAAGCCACCAGTGATGATATGGCATTTGATGCTTCTCATGAGCTCCTTACACGGGAAGTCCGACTTCGACTGCGCGGTGGTCGACCTCTGCATCGTGGCTTTTTGGGGCCTGGCGAGGCTGGCAGAGTTGACGTACGACAAGGAGACCGGCCCACTGCGGTACGACAACTCAGCTTTGACAACAGACGTGACTTTCACGACAGCGGACAACGGCCCGGGAGAATTGGCCACAATCAGCATTCGCAACGCCAAGACATCCGGACCTGGTGGAACCCAACTACTGCTCCTGACGGAGCAACCTCACATCCTGTGCCCAGTAAGGGCAATACGACGGAGGCTGCGTGAGGCGGGGTCGGCGCGCACCTCTCTTTTCGGCTTCGGGACAGCGGCCGAGCGGCGTCACCTTACCCGAAGAGCGGTGGTGGCTAGGATTCAAGAAGTATTAATAGCCAAAGGAGAGGCACGACTGTTGGGCCACTCCTTCAGGGTGGGCGGCGCATCTCTGAGACACGCCCTGGGTATGCCCGACGCGGATGTCCGGTATCTAGGCAGGTGGACATCCCGCTGCTACTTATTGTATTTGAGACCATATTCGCAACCAGATTTGGCACGCACCCGTTTAGTTTTGCGCAACCTTGTACGTAGTTGGAAGAAGATGGATAGTCTGTAATACAGCGGCTAGGCATGCAGCCGGTAATTTTTGGTCTCATTGCCGGGTCGAGTTGGGGGGTTTTCACTCACGGCTCAGGCTCTCCCCAACCCTGAGTTGATGGGTTTTGTGCCTGAACCCCCCCCTTTTTTACTCCCCCCCACCGAGATCCTGCCCGCCTGCACTGTCGCGCTACCTGGTCAGGCTAGGAGGAGTGACACCGCTCCTCCGAACCCTTCTTCCCACACCGGCAGAGGGTCTTCAGCACGGCAAGAATCTTTCACAAGGTCAAGCGGGGCGAGTGCCCCTGCCGGTACCAGTGGCGAGTCAGCGCTAGTGGATTGTTGTTGGCTGTCCCATTAGGCATCACTGGAACTCAACTGGATTGGAAGTTACACCCTCTGGACTCTTGCACCACTCACTTACACACCCCAACAACATGGCAACACTCAATCACCACCAACACATCAACAATTACATATCTCACACTATACATATGCACATTGCAGGACAACTACACTCTCTCACCAGCACAGTACATAAGTATACACACCACTCCACAGTGTTGGTCTGGAACCACTCAGGATTTACAAGTGACATCATGCAGGTTGTCATGTCATTTGTTATTCTTCCTTGCAGCTGTCACACTATCTCACACCACTCATGTAATCTTCATCACCCCATCTTAGTTTGCAGACTAGTGCATCACCTCATGTAGCATGCTACACCAGCATAAAACCCTCATGTAGACTTCTAGTTCAAGCTAGAATGACTCTTATGACATCATGTAGGTTGCTCAACCAGCCAAAATACCTCATGTACATGTCCTGAATAGCTAAATCCCCTCATTGTAAAGCTCTGGCCAGCTAAAATCTCTCATTCTCTTGTTCCCTGAAGCTAAAATCCCTCACCTTTGTGTATTTAAGGAGGCTCTCCTCCCATTTGTTTTTCCCCTCAGTTTAGTACCCACCAATTACATACCCCCTACCATTACATACCATACCATTAACATTCCATACTGTAACAACCTTTATAACACCCAATAACAAGACTTACACTTGTAATACACACTAAACTCACTCTCATACTCTCAAAACCTCTTCTCTCACACAATTAAATTGTGATCAAACAACTTATTCTCAAATCAACCACCCCTATCTCTTGATTAAAACTTGCCAAGCTGAGCTTGGTTTGTCTTGTTATCTGATAGTACAGAAGGGCAGAGCTTGCAACTCCATCATACCCTTCACCATTCAGCAAAAGGGTTCTCACAACCACTTTTGAGTCTTACAAGGGATTCCCCAACGTGATAGGGATTTTTTGTTTGATCGACATTGATTAACCAAATTTCAGCAAGAACAAGAAGCCATTGTCAAAGGATCACTACTTCTAGCAGCAAACAGATCAAAATTATCAACTCAATTCTGTATCACTCAACAGTATGTTCAGTTATTCTGTTGACCAACCAGTTAACCTTCATAAACCATTCAAAAAAATTACCATTAATCTCCTGAAAAAGAGCAATTACTAACCTTGAAATTAACCATAATAATTTTTACAAACCAGACCTGAAAAGAGTACCTCAAAGGAAAAAGACATTTATACACCTTAAGAAGGGCAAAGAGACCTGAAAGGTTTGGATAACTGGGATCCTGTTAGAAGAGATCTCAGGAACTATTTGAAGGAAGCAGCTGCTTATATACCATAAGAAGGGAAATAGAGACCTGAAGAATTTGGATAAGTAGATCCTGTTAGAAGAAGAAATTCCCAGTTACTGCTAAGTATTTTATTTATAAACCCTCCCAACTTGCCCCGGTGAAGACACCAGCAACCATAACAGTTGTTTTTTCTTATTTTCCTCTTGTAGGATGGCTGATAAGCTGTCTAAGACTATCCTCTTCTAAAAAGGAAACTGTAGAAGGTATTAGTTTGAATATTCTCAGAACTAACCACTTTTTTTTAAATCAATGATCAAGGGTCTTTAAAGGTAAACCTATGTGGCTTTCAGGTTTACCACCAATCAATATAATAAAATTATTTTTGATTTGAAGACAAAGAAGAATTGATTTAGAGAGAAAGATATGGTTAAAGAACCATATGTGAGACAGTGATAACAGAGCAATTTTTTCAGGGGTGGGTTATTCTGAGGTGATGAGATCCGCTTGATGGAAGTTTACTGGATATGTCCAGTGGATCCACGTTGTAGAAAGATACTGATCTAATCCAAAGAGTTCACGCCTAGGCCGTTGATAAGTTTTGACACAGTTAGGTGTATTGAGATCCAAACAGTGATTTGGTGATTTGGGATGAATACGCTAGGTTTAAGTAGTGATGTGTTGATGGATCTTCAAGAGAAAGAGGAATGATGTAAAATAAAGGGTGGTTATTATTTTGTCTCTTCTAAAAGTCTAGGGATAAATAGAGTTCAGGGAGCACAACTTATATATCAGGCTTGTTTGGTTGACTGGATACAAGCATATATAAACTATTTTAATAATGAAATCACTGAAAAGAGTGGGAAATGGGTGTGAAAAAGTGCAGTTGGTGTAGCAAAACTGTAAGTTAAAGGGGTAACTTGGTTTTGCTTTCCAGCTGAAAAATTTAGAAAATCAAGCAAAAAGAAAGAGTACTAACCGTCAGAGTCCTAGAAAACCATGTGGAGTTAAAACTGGGAGTTAGTATCCTTTCAACAAGTTAACCGCCAAGTGGTAACAGGATTGGATGGTTTTTTAGTAGTTCTGGTTCAAAGTGAATCTAAAAACCCTTGAAGATCCTGAAAATTCAAACTGAGGATCCTCTGAAAGTATTTTCAGAGTTGAATTATGTAATAATTACATGTACTTGGGGTAGAGGGGAGCAGTAATCCTTGAGTAGCGGTTCTTAGAGAAGTGCAGTGAATTAAAGCAAAGTGTGTGAAGGATTTGAGTAAGGTAAACATGTTCAGTGGTAATTAGTGGTTAATTGAACTGGGAAATTCATATCAGAAATAAGATATGGAAATTATCTTATGAGTAAAAAGTTATAATAGGGGGTATCAAATATAACCAAATCCACCATTATTGAATTGACTGGCTTGGAAAAATCCACCCTTTTTTAAACATGTTGGTTCTTCATTTAACCCCATTTGGGGCCCATCCATTCAAAAAAATAATTTTGGAAAAGTGACTGGTTTCTAATGGTGGATTTCCTATATTTGATACCCCCTAATGATATTATAGTAGGAAGCAATGGTCAAAGCAGTCTTTTGGCCAGAGGCTGACAATAGCGCTCATGGCTTGTTCTGTTGTGACATGGTCAAAGTGCTTGACTGCAACACATGTCACAGATTGTGTAGATAGTCTTCATAGGTGGTTTCCATTACTTAGTAATGAAAATCATTGGTCTCCCAAGTTCTCACTCCAACAGGTTATGAGTTTCTTGCTGGAGTAGCTTGAATTATCAAATTGTGGTAGTTATTCCTATTGTTTTTCTACCCGAAAATATAAAAATTGTTTATTATCTA